TCAGCCTCCACAAGCTCGTCTCGACCTCAAGCCAGTCATGAAATAACAGTAATCATACTGAAGAATAAACAACATGCTATCAAGCAATAAACAGTAAACTGCAATCATACAGAAGAAAATGAGAACATGCTATCAAGCAAAATAAACACATGGGCAAGGGAGCTGGGCTCTACCGAATACCCGCAAGCAAAGCCACGCAATAACAATACAAGCAGAGGGAGCAACTCAACCTCTAATGCGATTATTCTCCTGGACTGAACTTATTCTAAATGGACTTAATCTAATGCAACAGACAAATCAGACAAAACATACAATACAGAAAGGAAAACAGAAGAAAGCTTCAGCTCCTCCAGCAGCAACTCAGTCTTCAGACTTCAGAGATCACTTGCTTTCCAGGTATCAACCCTACAACACGAGTATCAACTCATCTTCTCCCTTAAGCTTCAGCTTCTTTGATCAGCTCCACCTTCAGGCTTCACTATCTTCAGGGATCTTCAAGCATCAACTTGATCTTCACAAAGTCTTTAGACTTCAACAATCTTCAAGGATTCATCCTCTTCAAAGCTTCAGCTTCTATCTTCAATGGCTCAAATGCTCCAGCAAACAAGATCCAGTCAACAGGATGAGGTGAGGATGTTACAGTGCTCACTGACTTCCAAAGGATGCCATTGAGGACTTAACATCAAAAGAAAGGCTCTCTCAAAGTTCTACCTCAGAGGGTAAGGTCACTAATCTCTCCAAAAGAGAGAGGTGAATACCCTTAAGGGACTTTATGTCACAGAGAAGGAAGGAGGTGAACAAGACACTCCTTGTTTATTGAATGGAATTATGCTATCTAAAGCTCTACCTGTGTACCTACAATCCTATAAACAGAACAAACAAAATCTAAAACTAAACTCCTCTGCAAGGTCTTCAAAGTCTTCAATGATGATCCACAAGGTCTTCAACTCAATCTTCAAAGCTCACACACTCAAAGGATAAGAAGAGAAAACAAAACAATACAAACTATGCCTTTAAGCAACACACATACTAACCATACATTCAAAAATCAATTAAAAATGCTAAAACACCATACAATATTCTAGCAAAATTCTAGGGGACTCTATACATACTTACCTTTAACCCATATATTCCCCATATACTAATTTGGTCTATAAACCCCAAAACAAAATTGTTGAATCTACTTATACAACCTAAAACCCTAATTTGAGCACCTAAATGTCAAACAAGCAAACTATATCAAATTTTAATCTACAAATTGCAAATTAAATCCTATGTGATCTATGGTTCAATATCTAACTATGCCAAAAAGAATGGCTAAAAAATCCTAAGGGAAAGTCCTAAAAGAAATTATACAAAATTGGGTATCAACTAAAATCAATTAAAAATACTATTTACAAGAATAATATGCTAAAAATGTTAAAAGAAAAGTAAAATGGAATTTTATTTATTTATATTTTTCTAGACAAAATCATGAATATGTGAAAAAAACAAGAAGTGAAAAATATTAATTTTTGGATTTTATATGGATTTTTTAATATGCAAGAAATATAAAAGAAATTAAAATATGAAAATATGAGAAAAAGGGATGGGGGGTGTCATGAGTAACTGCGCCCAGTTGGTTTTCTGGATGGGCCAAGAAATGGTGGTGCGCATAGCAAAGGTGCTAAGCCCATGTGCGCTCAGAAAAATAAAAAGGAAAATCAACAGAAAATGGGAAGGATACGGTGCAAATAGCAACAGATTTCCATTCAAATTTGGTTTTGGGCCGCTGGTGGGGTGCCAATAGCACAAGTTTCTGAGGCCCATGGTTTCCATTTTAATGAAACGCTGCGTTGCAGTGTGGGGCTTCCCTCCGTTTCTTGTTTGAATTGCAGTCGCACGATCATGCGAAGAAGTCAAATAACCAGACTAATCCAACGGTGGGAGTTCATCGTCCCCAAACATACCCTAGGGTTTTCAGAAACCCTATCTCCATGCCAGAATTTCCATCAACTCGTTCTCTCTGATCCCTCAATGAAATCCAAAACTTCCAAGAGCAAACTTGATCTACTAACCACCCAGAACACGATGATACCAATAGTTTTCCCTGAAACTCCACATATCACTCTAACAGAACACACGAAGGCTTGGGTTCCACCATGATTCTCTGAGATCAAACATGATAAAGCTTCAATCTAGTGATCCAATCTTGTTCTACATACTACCCTAGCCATTCTAAACTATACCATGTCCATTAAAACTCCATGAACAGCTTGCTATTGAATCTTGAAAAAATCGTGACCTGCCATGAAACCTTATGCCAAGCTCTCTACTTCTCAGAATATCATCAACTAACCTAGCATGTCATCTTTCCACCTAGAATTCTAACAGAATGCATCTGAATAAAGACCTATAGATCAAGTTACCAACCTGTCAAGCTTCAATGGTGAGTGGTGCTAGGGCTTGATTCAAGGCTTGAAATCCTCTCCAAATGCTCTTCCAATGATGAATACCTTTCTGTTTGCAAGAGTTGAGGTGGAGGAGGCTTGTAGAAGAAGAAATTGGATCTTGCTTGATCTTGAAGAAACCTTGCAATGGCACTTTCTCTCTCAATCTCTCCAATGAACTCAGCAACTTTCACCAACCTTTCATCACACTATGAGGCACTCTTTAAATAGCAATCCATGGAAGCTTCTAGAATCATCTAGAATCCACTAGAAAAGCTTGGATTTTCTCCTTTGATGACAAGTTGAACATACCATATCTCATGAGTTAGGCCTTTTAAACTTGTGTCAAAATATCATTACAAGATATATTGAGATCATATGTGCAAAAATCAGGCCAAACTTGCCTTGTGTAGAACCTTCCAAGGATGCCTTAAGATACAAGTTACAATTTTTCAAAGCAACCTTCATTTTTGAGCCTCAAATCAAAATTCTGTTTAAACCAAAGTTTTTAGAATGTTATTTGCACTCAAAATGGTATATTGGATGACCTATTTTGGATTCATAGATCTCCCAAACCAAATTTCAACTTGACTTGAATTAACTTATAAGCCATTTTAGGTCATTTTTACCCAATCATGAAAATCCTTGCTACAAGCTCTTTCAATAACTCATGACCTCTTTTCTAAGCTTAAAATCCCATTTTGAACAACTTTCATGTTTTGAGTTTTTCCATTTGAGGCTTGGAAATAGGAGATATGGCCTTTGCTTAAAATGACCTATAACTGCCAAATGACCAAAATACCCCTGTCTTGTTCAAACCATAAGTTGAGTTCTACAAATCCTATCAAGGACTTCTAGTACTCTATAGAAAGCTAAGAAGATTCTCTTCAACATTCATGTTGACCAAGAAATCATAGGAATCATCCTACTAGGGCAAAAGTTGTCTGCAAGTTGGGTGACTTTCAAGGACCCAGATTCACACACCTCAGATGACCTGTAATTTGTCAAAACCATAACTTGAGCTCTGCACATCCTATCAAGGACTTCTACCACTCAAATCAAAGCTAAGAACAATCTCTACAACATTCATGTTGTGGGGAAGATGAGATATCAATCACATCTTGAGCTAAAACTGCCTGGAAGATAGGGATCAAATTAGGGTTTTTCCACTGACAATCCTCAGAAACCCTAACTCAAAACTTCTCAAACTCCTCAATCATGATGAGTTGGTCTAGGAATCATATTTACAACATCTCCATACATCATTCCATGATCTCATGGCCCTTGGATTAGGTCTCAATCTTCTCCAAATCTTCAGTTATCCCAGGGTTGACCCAGTCAAAACCCTAATTCTACCATTCATGGTTGAATCTTCTGAATTCTTGCATAATGACCTCTCTAGGCTCCATGATGGCTTTCAAGACATCTCATAGGCTTTCTCAAAGCTTCAAGTTCATTCTCAAAGTCTCAGAATCATCTGAGGAGCTCCCACAACTCT